AGGAAATTAAGTTTTAAGAAAAAAGGTTAATTTTGTTCAAAAAATTTATTCACACTGAAAAAAGGTTAGAATTTGATAATTCCTTGTTACTCTAACTTACCGATATTAGATATTTCTCGGATGCGGTAAGCACGATTTTGTATTGGCGGTAGAATAAATAAGTTTTTTTCATTACTAATTAATAATATATTATTATTTATTTATTATATAAATGTTCTTATATAAAATAATTAAATTTAATACAAAATCTGCTTACCGTATACGAGAAATATCTAATGTCGGTTAGTTAGAGTAACAAGGAATTATCAAATTCTAACCTGTTTTCAGTGTGAATAAATTTTTTGAATAAAATTATCCTTTTTCTTAAACTTCATTTCTCTTATAAATTTAGCTTTGTTTTACTTTGAAAATTAATTTCTATTATCTACATTTACTTTGAAATAGTGTTATATTAAGAAAAATGCTTTAAAAGTCACCTCGTATACAAGCATCTATACACTTCTCATTACGGAAAAGGCTCGTATGAGAGTTTTCTCATATTTCTCATACTAGCTACCGAGCTCGTATACGAACTCCGCGGTCCGTGTATCGAATTTTTTTTACTGGGTTATTGATAAAACAATATTAAATATTTATTCCAATAACTTTGGACATTGTTCTTAATTTTTTTTCTCATTTAAGGGTAAATTCGCTCACACAAAACGGCTTATAAATTTTTGAATGTTTTAAATGATCTTCGGATTCATAATCAGTGATCTTAAATTTTTCGGAGTTTCAAGCAAATCCTATTAAATGTTTTATCTTTTCCTACATTTTTAATTTTGAGTTATTTTTAAAGCATTTTCCACATTTTTCTTCAAAAATAGGATTGTTTTTAAAAAATTTTAAGGAAATTCTCCAAAGCAAAAAATTAATTTCCATAGAATTTGACAAAAATTATAATTGTTCTGCATTTTTTTCAGAATTTCTACACTTAATTATTCAAAATTTTAATAATCTTATTAAATAAATATTTAAATAGGTACACAGATATTAAAATTTTTTATTTTAATTTCAAACACCCGTGTGGAAAAAGCCCCCATCAAGCCCACACGACGTGAGGGCCCCCGGCAGGGGCCGACGAGGGCTTATCCATGTGGGCAAATCCATGAGGGCCACACAGGGGGCCCGCATGGATCGCCCACATCATTTACCAGCAAAAATTTCTAAGTCCAAACAAAAAATTTTTTTACAAAAAAAATTAATGTTTATAATGATTTTAAACAATGAAAAACACGTTTTTAACAAATATTTAATGGTACTTTTAAAAAAATATAAAACTCACATGAGGGCGCCCTCATCGATCAGCATGTCGTCTCCACGAGGGGCCTCGCCTGGATCACATACGTGGGCCCCTCATGGATGTGGGCGATCCATGCGGGCCCCCGGCGTGGGCCAACACCACTTTTCCACACGGGCATACACAAATTTTATTACTTTTAATGAAAAAAGTGTTTTTATCGTTATTTTGAGAGAAACTCAATGGCTTTATTATTATAATAATAATATTATATTAATATTATTAAAATATAATAATTATAGTATTATTATATATTATTATAAAAGGTTGGAAAAAATTTTGACTTCTTTTGAATTTTTATTTTTATTGATAAATTTTGAAATCTAAAGGTATATGTAATTTTGTAGTTTGAAATTTTTTCGGAAAAAAAATCTGTTTTTAGGCTAAAAATTCTAAAAAGTATCATTATTCTTTAATTTTTTATTTAAAGATTTATTTGTTTACATTAATAACTTATTTGAAATTATAATTTTACCTATCATAAATTTTTTATATTTCTTATCTTTTATTTAAAAAATTATGATCTGATATAAGTTAGATAAAAAAAGAATTTTCAAATAAAAAATTCAAACAATAATATTTTTTAGCATTTTCAACTTAAAAACAATTTTTTTTCAAACGTTTTAAAAATAATAAATATTCATTGTTTCATTCGGCAATTTTTTTTTGGTTACAAAAACTTATTTAAAAAAATTTCTGTACATAATTCAAAAAATTAATTAATTCAAAAACTATTGTATGGAATATTTAAATTATTTTCTTGATATAGTTAAAAATATCTCTGCGGTGAAGTTCACAACGTTTATGATCAACAATTGAGCGAAAAAAAATATTTTTCCTGATAAAAATAACAAAATTATTTATTTACAAATTTTTTTTTTCAAATTAATAGGGTAAAAGTGGGTATTATCGCGGGTGTGGGTATTATCGCGGTATTTTATATTTTAATGAATATTTCAAATAATATAAAAAATTTTTGACACTAAAAAATCACTCCTTGAACCTGACAACTAAGACATTATAATATGCATCATATTTTTGATTGTTTTTCTATTAATCAATTTATTAAAAATGTTTTAAAATTTGTTGTCTGAAAAAAGTTCAAAATGGCTCACCTTGGTTTGAGATTCAACTCTACAGTGGTGTCAAAAATTATTGTTTTTATGTTCTATAAAACTCTAAGAGATGATTCTTTTTTTATATTTTGGTAAATTTATTGTTATTCTTCATAAAAAAAATTGATTTTTATTAAATATTTACAGTCACGATAATGGAGACATCTTTTTTTTAACATGTGGGTATTTTCGCGGCTCCTATCATAACCCTTGAAAGTAAGGTTAGCAGTGTGTCTCTAAAGTTTAAAACGTTGAAATTATAGCCGATATTATTTTTGCTTGTTTTAATTTATATTTTAATAAAAGTACTTTGTATGTGTATAAAAAAAATTAATTTTCAACTAAATAAATGTTGAATTAACATTGTTTTTCCACTTTGCACAGTAACTGTTAAACACATTTAGACACAATAAAAATTTCGTTTATTTGAACGTTCAGAATTTTAGTATATCTTATAACAGTTACAAAATACAAGCAAGAAAATAAAGAGTAATGGAAAAGATAAAAAAATTAAAGTAAGTGAGATCTGTATATTTAAGGAAAAAAATTTTAATAGCTATAAAAAAGGAGCAAAAGTGTCAAATGAGAATTGACTATACGTTAGAAATATTTGATAATAATTGCTTTAGAATATTTTATCAGAGTATTATTTTATATTCTGAGACTAATTAAGTTATTATAATAAAACCAAGTATCTTTCTTCTTGTGATACTAGTTTACTATTGAATTCGTCCATTTATTATAATGCTTAAAATTTTCTTTAATTCAAGTTCTTGCGATATTTATATTTATATTTTTAAAAACTATATTATTATTCCTTTTAATTTTTTACATTTACTACATTTTAATTAAGTAACTATTACAAAAATCCAAAAAGCAATAAATAAATTATCCGCGATATTTACCACGCGATAATACACTCATCCGCGATATTTGACACGCGAAAATACCCTCAAGCCATTACAAGTCCCGCGAAATTACAAGCAAAGGAGTCTTCTATTTAATCATTTATTTAACGATTAAAACTATTTTTTATAACATTGGCAATTTTTTTTTAAAGAAAAGAAAGCTTAAATATTCATTTAAAAAAAAACAAAGCCATATACATTTATTTATAATTTTTAAACCACTTGGATGTATGACGTATACAAAATTCCTCGATAATACCCACATTTGCCCTAATCGAAAAATTATGCAAATCATTTTTTATATAAAAATATAAATATAAAAATACTTTTTCTTCTAAATCGTTGATTATAAACTTTGTAAACTTCACCAACATAAAATATTGATGAAACCTCCCCTTAAATATTTTAACTTCTGCATCAATTCAAATTTTCAAAAATTATTAAGTTGAAACCTTCTGAAATTGAATTATTTCTAAAAATTAATATACTGAAACTTTTCCAAAATTTAATTATTTTCTAAAATTTTTATTTGAAAATTTTATATACAAATCCATGATTTTTAATAATTTAAAAAAATATATATAAGAATTAAGAAAAAGAAGGTAAACTTAATATACGTCTAAAATTCAATTGTTTACAATTTAATTTTACAAAATTTCGTTTATTCGAAAATTTTTCAATTAAATATTCGAAAATTCAACTATAATTTCGAAAAAAATCTCATTGAAATTTTTCGAAAAAATGAATTATTCAGAATTTTGAAACTTAATAGTTTCTAAAAATTTCTACTATAATTCTTCTAAAATTCCCTGATTCTTCTGACCTGTGACAAATTTTTTATTGCCAAAATTTATTAAAAATAATTTTAAAAAAGTCCAACTTAAATAAAATTTTTTTTAAATATATTAAAAACTAATTTTTTAAAAATTCATTTTAATGAATGATAATTTTATTTTTTGTGACTAAAGTTTGTTTTATGCTCTGAAAGATTTGTAAATAAATGTTAGATACTATATAGGAAAAGGTTTGATTATAGTTATTTTCATATTATGGAAATCAAAATAAATAGCATTTTTTACCAAAAGTCGAAAAGTCATTATCCGAGGTTTGTTGTCATTAACTGAACATTGATTGCAGTATTCTGTCCGTTACGTATGTTAACGATAAAGAGTATAGTATTGAGTATGCAAAATCGAATAGAGAATACCTATAAAATATTTTCAGTTTCTGATGATTTTTTTACATCCAGCATATTATATAAATTATTTCTCTTTTCTTTATTTAACAATTCTAATTTAATAAAGTACATTATCTTACTAAGCCACCTGCAAATTAACCTGAAAACCTAAACTGCACAAGAGGGAATTTTATCAGAAGCTTCCCTTGATTAGACCAAAATATCGAGGGGTTATAAAAATGAACGACTAATATTGGTTCAAGAATTCCTTTTATTGTGGTCGTTTTTATGCTTTATCGTATACGTATATATAGTTGGAAAAGAAACGTGCTGGAAGATCATGAAGCAGAGGAGATATAAATTTTTTCTACAAAACGTATAATAATAAACAATTCTTAAATCCTAAATATATATTTATACATGTAAATAGAGACGTATAAAAATAGTTTCTCAAGACTCACCGTTGATAACACTGTTGACACGCGAAACATTCCAAATGGTAGACATTCGTTCTTGCTCGCATCACCATTTCGAATGCTGGTATTGGTTTGTTGCATGCCGAACAATGTCCCGTACTTCCAAATAACCTCAGATAGTCCCTTTTGCAAAGAATTAAATCGGCTTTCGTGTATAATGTCGAGCCAACCTCTCCCAATCGGCAATCGCAACAACCACATTTTAAACAGTCCTCGTGCCAAAAACGGTCCAGGGCTTTCAGCAAGTACCTACGTCAAAGTAAGTAGGTTCTTTTATCAATTTCGTTAAAAGTGCATTCCTCACTAAACAAATTTAGCAGAGAAATTTAACTTTTAATTTTGACTTGTTTTTGCGACGTTTTTTGACTTTTTTTAAGAATGTCAAATTGAGACAGAAAAACAATATCAGATTGAGTCTTAATTTGATATCCTTAGAAAAACTGTGACGCTGTCTATCTTTTGAAATAAAATTATCAACTCCCAATGGGAAGTAAACGATTGGTTCAATAATGGGCCATGCTTGGCGAACTCCGTTCCATCATTGGAACATTAATGGCAACCATCATTGGACCACCAATGGTTTAAACTTGGGATGATCACGCTACTGCCAATGATCGGTAGCCAAGCATCGGGCCAATATTAGTTGCCAAGGAATTGCCAAGAAAACAAAATCGATTTTTAAAAGCTTGATTTTTTATTGGCAGCCAACAAAAAACCAAGGTTTTGAAAATTGATTTTTTTTAATTATTAATTAAAATTTATTTTCAAAAAATATATTTTTCAAAAATTAATTTTAAAAAAATATATTTTTCAAAAATATATATTTTTTTAAATTAATAGAACATATTAATTTAATTTGTCACCTCTGGTAAAACAAAGATGAAAGACTGATAAATTCCCTCACTTTATATTTTACAGTGGAGGGATAACTGTGAATGTCTTTGCGAGAGAGGAGCAGGTACTTATATAGAGCCAGTGAAACAGGTCACAAGCGAGAAGAAATCACTAGCATGCACTCTGGCGGCGCTTGTCGGAAGTGGCGCAACGTTGGTTGCCAAGCGCTGTGTCGATAACGTCAGGATATGCATGCGCGCCAGAAAACAGTTCCGACAAGCGCCGCCAGAGTGCATGCTAGTGATTTTTTCTCGCTTGTGACCTGTTTCACTGGCTCTATATAAGTACCTGCTCCTCTCTCGCAAAGACATTCACAGTTATCCCTCCACTGTAAGATATAAAGTGAGGGAATTTATCAGTCTTTCATCTTTGTTTCACCAGAGGTGACAAATTAAATTAATATGTTCTATTAATTTAAAAAAATATATATTTTTAAAAAATAAATTTTTGAAAAATATATTTTTTAAAAATAAATTTTAATTAATAATTAAAAAAAACCAATTTTTAAAACCTTGGTTTTTTGTTGGCTGCCAATAAAAAATCAAGCTTTTGAAAATCTATTTTGTTTCCTTGGCAATTCCTTGGCAACTAATATTGGCCCGATGCTTGGCTACCGATCATTGGCAGTAGCGTGATCATCCCAAGTTTAAACCATTGGTGGTCCAATGATGGTTGCCAATTGTTTTGCCAAGAAAAAACCATTGGGCACCAAGCATGGCCCATTATTGAACCAATCGTTAACATTGGCAACTTCCCGTTGGGCTGTTTTTTTAACTTTTCTAGTATGATCATTTTATATTAAGTTTAAAAACATTCAGGGTCAAACCATTTTAATAAAGTACTTTTGACCTTTTTAAAAACCTTTAAAACTTTGGGAGAATATTTTTGCATATTTATGCAATGGCGATATTATTCAGATACATATTATTCTCGTTGGGTTTTGCACTTCTTTTTGAAATAAATTCATGCAAAATAAATGTTTATTTGGCAGGTTAACGACATGTTGGCTAACTTAAAATTGGTTTTCAACTTTCGATAAAAATCAAAGTCAAAATAAATCAACTTTCTTGTCAGTTCAAAAAAGTATACAAATGAATTTCAAATATAGGGGAGAGTGGGGCAAGACGGGGTACTTAAGGTTTAAAGCGTAAAAAAACGAAAATTATCGAATATATACTTTATTATTATTTTTAATTATCATCTTTGGGAATCAGTCTTTCGTAAAAAAGTCGTACAAAGGCCATCTGTTTCTTAAAAACAAAAGCCTTCATTTGAGTCTAAATAATAACCATTACAATAGAGACAAGGTGTATTTTCCACTTTACCATCGCTAATTGATGATTTAACCTGACAAGCTTTTTTCTTTTTGGTCACTCTTATTTTATTCAGTCTTGATTTTAGTAGTTTTCTTAACTTCTCTTATTTCTCTTTTTTTTTGCTTAATTTGTGAACCCCGTCTTGCCCCACTCTCCCCTACCCCATCTTGCCCGCACCTACGAAATTGAATAAAACGATTAATTACTACAATTTACGATTCAACAAAGAAAAAAAAACATATGCTTCCCTTCTTCTGTAACCCTTGACAGTTAGAAAAAAATTTATACAGTTCATTAACTGTTATTATTAAGTAATAAACACCTCCTAAAAAAGTGAAAAAATGACAAGAAAATCGTCAAAAACAGTATTTTTAGTAAAACAGATAAAAGATTTGTTCTCATGTCGTCTTACTTAAAATATATTTATTTGTTTAACATTTTTTTAATTTTTATTTTATGAAAAAAATTAAAAACAAGTTTCAAATTAGATTTGAAAAAAATTCGGTAGAGTGTCAATTCCATGGAAATTTCAATTTACGGATAACAAAAAAGAAGGTTAAAATATTTTGATTATTTTGACTTTGATTTCTATGAAAAGTCGCAAACTAACTTCAAGTTAGACAAAATTACTTGACGTTAACTTTCAAAATAAACATTTATTTCGAAAAGTAGTGCGAAACCCAACGAGAAATTTTAACAGCAAGCAGAAAATGCTTCAATCTGCATATCCCAAGAATTTGGAATGGATTGGCTTTTCTCCAAGAAAGTTGTAAACTTTCAAAATACTGATAAAATGAAGAATGATCAATTTTATGGTAAAATTTTATATGTATTTCTAACCAAATCATCAAAAGTATTTACATAATATTAAAGTGTAATTACATTACTTTGCAAAAAAAATTCTTAAATAGATTTTTGATATTTCGTACAGAAACTGATATAACATATTTTGCATTTTATTTAATATTTTTAAATTTTAAATTAGTTGCAAAACATAAATTGAGGAGCAAATTTTCAAAAGCTGATAAATCCAATATTAAAAAAAATGGATATAAACATAAAAATATTGTATAGACTACAAAAATCGACCAGTCACTGTCAATTTAAAGAAATAAATTTATTAACAACGAATTTTCAATTTAAAAACTTTTTAAAATAACCAAGATGACATAATTTTTTTGTTTTTTATAAGAAAAAATTACCAAAACCTTTAAATCACTTAATTATGATAATATTTATATAAAAACATTTAAAACATTGTATGTAAATAAATTATTATAAATTTTTATTTTAAAATTAACTGTAGTGGTTATGTTAGGAAAGTCATTTGTTTCAGTTTCTCAAAATAAGAAAATAAGAAATTTTCAAGTTTTGAAAACTTCTTCCTCAACTATGCTTTTAAAAATAAATGTTAATCGGTTTAAGACATTTGTATTAAAGTGTTTTTAAAAAGGTCCGAAGTACATTTTGATGAAATAAAATGTCTCGACTCACAAATTAAATTGTTTTAAAAATTAGTTTATTGCACGGTAATGTACAAAAATTTATAGTATAAGTCACTAAAACCGCGTAAATGAAGTTAAAAAATTTATATTTAGTTTTAAGAATACACTGTGAAAACGAATTATTAAACTACTTTTAGTTTAAACCTGTTTTTCCTTAAGGCTATGTCCAAGTTGTGAAATGTAAACAAACCAAAAGGTTACTACACCAGCACTAAAAACGCAATTTTGCGACAGCCAATTCTCCCACAAAAAATAACATTTTTACACTTTCTTTACGAAAATGGAAAATTAGAGTATCAAAGTTTCCAAAAAAATCATTTTTGAATATAAGCAATAAAAATCAATTAGTAAAATAACTAATTATAATGAGCTGTAAAATGGCATTTTTGACGCGTCGCGAAAAATAAACTGTTTGAGTATATCAACCGCACTGACGATGAAGAAGTCTCATGTCAGCGATTGGACCTTCAACATGTGGAAAGGGAAATTTTTCCCTTTCCTCCTTGAAATTACAAGAGAAAGGGTAAAAACTTCTTCATCGTCCGTGCGGTTGATATAGTCAAACAGTTTAATTTTTCGCGACGTGAACTCTGTTGCTCGCTGCGCGTGCGCAGACCGTACCAAGGTCGCAATGACATTGCCATGCAAAAAGGCACATTTTTTTTTTGACTGAAACTCAGTGGTTTTCTCATTTTTTCAGTTATTCAAAGTTTAGTAACCAAATTCGATACTTTAGTTCGCCATTTCCATAAAGAAAATGTGAATTTATATTTATTTACGCAAATGGGAACCGCGAAAAAATGCTTCACTATTCGGTCTATAATGGGGCATTTTTTCGCTGTTCGCATTTGCGTAAATGAATATAAATTCACATTTTCTTTATGGAAATGGCGAACTAAAGTATCGAATTTGGTTACTAAACTTTGAATAACTGAAAAAATGAGAAAACCACTGAGTATCATTCAAAACCAAAACTAAGAATGCATTGACAGCACCATGCGAAAATGCACATTTTGTTTTCTACTGAAACTTAGTTATTTTCTCATTTTTTTCAGCTATGCAAGGTGTAGTTACCAAATTCGATACTTTAGTTCGCCATTTCCATAAAGAAAATGTGAATTTATATTTATTTACGCAAATGGGAACCGCGAAAAAATGCTTCACTATTCGGTCTATAATGGGGCATTTTTTCGCTGTTCCCATTTGCGTAAATAAATATAAATTCACATTTTCTTTATGGAAATGGCGAACTAAAGTATCGAATTTGGTTACTAAACTTTGAATAACTGAAAAAATGAGAAAACCACTGAGTTTCAGTCAAAAAAAAAATGTGCCTTTTTGCATGGCAATGTCATTGCGACCTTAGTACGGTCTGCGCACGCGCAGCGAGCAACAGAGTTCACTTCGCGAAAAAATAAACTGTTTGACTATATCAACCGCACGGACGATGAAGAAGTTTTTACCCTTTCTCTTGTAATTTTAAGGAGGAAAGGAAAAAATTTACCCTTCCACATGTTGAAGGTCCAATCGCTGACATGGAACTTCTTCATCGTCAGTGCGGTTGATATACTCAAACAGTTTATTTTTCGCGACGCGTCAAAAATGCTGGTATACAGGTCATTTTAACTAGTTATTTTACGAATTGCTTTTTATTGCTCATAGTCAAAAATGATTTTTTTGGAAACTTTGATACTCTAATTTACCATTTTCGTAAAGAAAGTGTAAAAATGTTATTTTTTGTGGGAGAATTGGATGTCACAAAATTGCGTTTTTAGTGCTGATGTAGTGACCTTTTGGTTTGTTTACATTTCACAACTTGGACATAGCCTTAAATTCAACTCATTTTGGGACTTAAAATAAAAATAAAGCAATTTTAGATCTCAAAATCAGTTTTCTAATCAGAAATTTAGTCAATATTTGGAATAAAGTAAGATGTTTCAGTAGAAGTCAAACTTAAAACAATAATTATTTTTTACAGTGTAGGTATATAAATAAAACAAACTTTTTAATTAGAAAAAACTTTGTTAGTTAATAAAAATTAAATTAATGAAAATTATAAAAATTATAAAAATAGTCTCAGGAAATTATAATTGAATATAAATTTTCAAAGAACATTTAAAGTTTTCTATGTTTTTTTATTCTACTCGATTTTGTTAATTTAAGAAATGTAAGTCTCTAGCACGTTAGGTTAAACAGGAAAAAAAAATTTGTTTAATTAAAATTAGTTTGTAAGCTTAACTCTAATACCTGTGTAGAAAATATGTTCATTGGAACATATTTTCAAATATGGATATACAAATATATATACAGTACGAAAACCTACCACGTCAGTCATATCCCATGAGTGGGAGTGAGACAGACTTATGCGATTCCCATACTTTCCTATGACTGACGGATAGCTTTTCTTACTGTATACAAATATTTTCATTGGATGAAAATTCATTATGGAAACTACTCCGAAAATAAAAATCGAAAAAACCATGCGGGCCTGTATTATCTATGATTATCATAATTTATTTATTCATTCCTTTTAACGATTACTGATTTATTTCATTAGAATTCGTCCACTTTTTTCATTTTTGTTTTACCCATTATATTGATCCACGTTGTATATATATTTTGGATAAATATAGAAGTAGCAATTGTTTTTAGTAAATTACATTTTAAAATAAAATTGTGTAAATCTTTTATTCATTAAAGTGGAAAAAGTGCCTACCTTTCTGTGATTGTTTTTCCACAGCCGGCGCACTCGTGCTGAGTGGAACCATTTTTGTTAGTCTCCGACTTGCTCACATCCATAGTCATCGTGATCTGAGCTATTTCGTCCCCTAAAACAATGAATGAAAAAGAAATCAACAAAAATTAACTTTATTTCAAGAATTAATTTTTCTTTTAATTAAATTTTTTCTATTCACTGAAAATTCTGCACTCTAAACTAAAAACCATTGTATTTATTTTTTTTAAATTATTTAATAAAAATTTGTTATCCTTGTAATTGTTAAATAAATAAGTATTTTACATAAATTAAAAATCCTAATATTTTATTACACTAAGTTAACTTTAAGTAAATTAATTGTTTAATCCAATTAATGATTGCAGTAGTTGATTTCTATCTGGTATTTGATAATAAATACAAAATTAATCAATAAATTTAATTCACGCACATTTATTTATTTAATTATTAGTATTTACTATTAAATTCATTTATTATTTTTCTATTTAATTCAATTATTATTCATTTAATTTAATTAATTTAATTATTAATATTTACTTAATTACCTACTATGTTTAAAAATTAATTATTTAATTATTCTGCTTTTTATTATAATTAAATAATTAATTATTATTTAATTAAAGTAATTAATTTCCGTGTACATTAAATAAATCAAGAATCAATTTATAAATTTAATTTCAAACACACGAATACAAAAAGGAAATAAAATACACTAATTAATCAAAGAACCTAATTGAATTATTTTTTTCCTATTACATTATTTTTCATTGCAAATGAATCAGTTTTCAGATTAAAATAAACACGATACGATAGGTAATTAGTAAAATCTTTTAATTTTTTTTCTTTCTTTTTTGTGATTCCGTCATATTTGCCATTAGTTTTTTTTTCTTTTTAGTTAATTAATGACCGGACATGGCAAACCGTACTAATCGACTATGTCAGTTACAGGAAAGAATCTCGTAATTTCACGTTAAATCTCGACGGCCCGTTTCCGGCTTCGATAATAATTAGAAACTTAACCAGTAAATCAAATGGAATCGTCCAAAAGACGTTTTAAGAAAGACACAAACGATAGAGGGACTTTCCAAATGGAACAAAAATGGTCCTTAGACGAATATATTACATTTTTTATTATACTATTTATTACTTAATATATTATTATATTATATAATTATTTACATTGTATTATATTCAGGCAATATTTGTGAGCCTCATAAAGCAATTATTGACGAGAATACCCAATGGGAAAAAAACCACTATGGCGCATTAATGGCCCAATAATGGGAGCCACCATTCCATTATTGTCCCATTATTGGCACCCAATAATGGACCACTAATGGTAAAATCGTGGGATGTCCACCCCGATGCCAATAATTGGCAAACCATTATTGGCACATTATTAGCTGCCATTAAAAAACCAATAATAAAAAAAAAATTTTTTTATTAAATTTTATTGAATAATAAATTTATTTATTTAATAATTATTTTATTTATTATTATTATTATTTATTATTATTAAAAATATTAATTTTTTTAATTAATTATTTTATAGAAATGGTTATTATTTTCTATCACATCAAAATATGAATAACCCTTTCGTTCAGAGTCTAAAAATTATTTACCTCACATCCATCAGTGCAAAAATAGGAGAGGACGGGCAGAATAAAATTCTACAAATATTCGTGAGAATGCTGCCTCCTTATATTCTTTTCTTCTTCTTCTTCTTAAATGACTTGAGGCTTAGCCAACTGTCAGAACAAACACTTAGAAGAATAAGAATTAAGAATCAAAAGTGCCCATGAAATTGGTTAATGTGAACAAAAAGAAATGGCGTCAAACGGAATTCGGTAAACTATATAAATCTATGGCGGCTGATAAACACGTGTTGAGAGGTAAAGATGTGAATTAAATATTTATACTATTGCAAATATGAGTTTAAGTTAAAAAAAAGTCAGTTTAGAATCATTTCCTCCGAATACTTGAAGTTAGACACTTTAAAAATAGAAATAAGTCAAAATTAGAGAACTATAGACATTGTGAGGTAAATCCTCACTTAAATTGATGCTTGAGAACTGTACTTGGGAACGGTTAAAACCAAACTCCTTATATTCTTTTCAAGTTTCATGTTAGTTCCCAGAGAGTTTTAAGCAACACCTCCTATGGGGCGTTGAGCGAACTACATACTTACTACATGATAATTTCTGCAGCGTCGGTAAGTAATTGTATGTAGTTCGCTCAACGCTCCGTAGGAGGTGTTGTTTCAAACTCTCTCGCAACTAACATGAAACTTGAAAAGTATATAAGGAGGCAGCATTCTCACGAATATTTGTGGAATTTTATTCTGCCCGTCCTCTCCTATTTTTGCACTGATGGATGTGAGGTAAATAATTTTTAGACTCTTAACGAAAGGGTTATTCACATTTCGATGTGATAGAAAATAATAACCATTTCTATAAAATAATTAATTAAAAAAATTATTATTTTTAATAATAATAATAATAATAATAATAATAATAAATAAAATAATTATTAAATAAATAAATTTATTATTTAATAAAATTTAATAAAAAAATTTTTTTTTTTATTATTGGTTTTTTAATGGCAGCCAATAATGTGCCAATAATGGTTGCCAATTATTGGCATCGGCGTAGACATCCCACGATTTTACCATTAGTGGTCCATTATTGGGTGCCAATAATAAACCTAAAGAAAACCAATGGCTTCCAATATTGGGCCATTAATGCACCAATGGTAGACTAATGGCTATTTTCCATTGGGTACTTATAACCTTATAATGATGATGGGTATAAGTAATATTTTTTTTCATAACTTTTTTTCTTTATAAGACTCTTATTATTAAGTTGCATAGCAGCAGCAGTGAAGCAGAATGTTAAAATTAATGGATCGTCGTGGGCGAATAAATTACTACCCCGATATCCTACGAGCTTAATTTAAACTTTATCGCCAGTCTTTTCGAGAAAACGAAATTAAATGTATGCCTATCTCTTGGTATTTCGCCTTGAAATCAAACGGAAAACTTGACGCTTAATTAGTTTACAGAGCGCGTTATCTCTAACAGAGTGTGTTTACACTTAGAATTTTGTCTGCACGATGTATAAAGTGTATATATGTGTGTCTATCTATGTATAGTTGCGAACAATAATTATAATACATTATTGCTTATTAAACTCATCGTCCACTCGGAATAAAAAATATTGAAAGAACAGAATTTTTCTTTATAGAAATATTAATATTATTTTTGATTTATTATTATAAAGCTAATTTGCATAATGTATAATTCTTACAGTAGTGTAAAGGAGTATTGAACTTGCACTAAGCAGTTTTAAATTAAATGAATTAGTATTAATGTTAAATTATAATTTACCACCAATTATTATTTAGCACCAATAGCGAAAAATACTAATAATTTAACAAAATTTGCTGAAATTATAAGCAGAAAAACAATTTTAATTAAGTTGCAGAAAGTTGCATTAGCGACAGAGTTGGAGCGCCACCCTCGAAGGCTAAAGTCTTACGACAGTTCCGAGGGAGGGTAAAGGGCTCCAGAAGAAGGGTTACGGGTTTTAGTGGGTCGGGCTGGTAGTAGGTCGCCAGTTTATTAAATTTATTATAACATTTATTTATTTATCTTTTTTTTAATATTTCCTTTTGTTTCATTTTACCAACCCCACATAACCTTAAAGTGCGGAATCCAAGGTATCTGTAGGCAGATTTCCCAAAATTCCCTAAGCAAAAAAAAAAAAATTTAATTAAGTTAGTGCTAAATTATGTTTTAGTACTAATACCAAAACATTTAATATAAGTTCAAGTCGAGGTACAAGTTTAACAATGATCACTAAATTACTCAATTAAAAGTTGTACAAATTAAGAATTATTTCGTAATACTTTAGGTATTAATTTAGCATCATTTGGAAATAATTTATTCTAGTATACTAATTCAATGAATTTATCACTATTTAGCTCTAGTTATTAGTTGTACTAATTTAACACAATATTATTCAATTTTAATATTAACGTAATGTGAGTACTGCACAGATGAATTTATAATTTGTCATTATTTAACACTATACTGTAAAAAGAAGGCATCTTATTTTAAAATACTATTGTAGTCACTTCTAAGTTGTTTCAAAAAAGTTATCAAAAACATCTTAAAATGCATTGGTTTCTAAGATGGATCTTAAAAGTGACTACAATGTATTTTCCATTTCCGAAGAGTTTGAAACAGCAAACTTCAAACTCATCGGAAAACAGCTTCTTTCTGTACTTGTTGCACAATGTACTATTAAGATGCTTCTTTTTGCAGTGTATGTATACAACATTGTACAATATTTTAGCACTATTAATGGTGTTCTCGCATTACTAATTTAGTACCACTTAGCATACAACTTTAATACAGCATAGCAGTAGTGTATTTAATTTAACACTATTTAGGACAAAAGAGTATTACTTAATACTAATTTAAAACTGTTTAACAAGTAGCACTTATTTAGCACCATTTAGCATATACTAACTTAGTACAACATATAACAACAATGTACTAAATTTGACATTATTTAGCAAAAAAATATTACTCTTTTTATTTTAATACTACACGGCAAAAAAATTCACGGAACACTCGTAAACTATAATACATCACTTTTGGATGGTACACGAAATTTCAAAATTTTCATTCACTTTCGATTAGAAATGACGAACTTTAACGAAAAAATGAAAGAAAGTTAATGAATTATTGACGAACTGTGCACGGTCCTGAGCTCCACAGCTGACTAAAGCTAATCGTGTCATTTGACGAAGTACAGTGTATCTAGATTTAGCAGTGGCTGTTAGTTGTTAGAACAATAATGTTATATGGTATAGGTAAATCTGAATTTGTAGAAAGTTACTAATGAAATGACGAAAAGTCGTCCACCAAATGATTTAGTAATAATTTTACTAAATAGTGAAATTTTACTAATTGCTTACACTGTAAAAACAAGTGTCTCAATGTAAGACGTTTTGTCCCCACTTTTGAAACATTTGAGGTGTTTTACCTCAAAATTACTAAGGTAAAACACCTCAAATGTTTCAAAAATG